TTCTCGTAGTGTCACATTTTCTTTTTGGTTTTGGGGTCACACATGGTGATGCTCAGGGGTTTCTCCTGGCTCTGCACTTTGAATCACTCCTGGTGGTGCTCAGGTGACCAGATGGGATTCTGGGGCTCAAACCCGGGTCGGCTGCCTGCAAGGTCACTTTACCCACTATTTTACCTTTCCAGGCCCAGCCACACATTTTCAAGGACTGTTCATTGAGGGATTTCTCCCACAAAGACCACATTCTAAATGAATTAACTTTTGGGTTTTGAGCCACAGTGGGCTGTGTGAGGGATCACTCTTGGTGGTGCGGATGTGGTGCCAGGGCTCAAACCCGTATGTATGGGGCTACATACAAGGCAAGTGCCTTGGTCCCTGTACTTCCTCTCCAGCTAAAGGCATTTATAGTTGGAGTTTGCTTTTTTGCTTCATTTGGGGGCCACATTGTGGGTGTCCCTGAAGTCTCCTGCAGGCAAAACATCTGCTGGCCCTTGGAATTGCCTTCCTGACTTAATACCCACATTCTTTACAAACCATTTTCTGGGGCTGGAGTGATAGTACAGCGGGTAGGGTGCTTGCCTTGCATGTGACTGACCTATTTGCAATCCCTGACATCCCATATGGTCCCCTAAGCTTCATCAGGAGTGATCCCTGAGCTCAGAGCCAGTAGTAAATCCTGTGCACCTCTCTGCATGTGACAAAAAAAAGAAATGTTTTTTTTTAATGTAGAAAAGAAGACCTACATTCTTTACAACTCATTTTCTGTTGATGGAGCCTTTGGGTTGCTTCCATTTTTTTGAGGGGAGGGGGTCACACCCGGCGATGCACAGGGGTTACTCTTGGTTCTGCACTCAGGAATTATTCCTGGCGGTGCTCAGGGGACCATATGGGATGCTGGGAATTGAACTTCAGGTCGGCCGCGTGCAAGGCAAACGCCCTACCCGCTGTGCTATCGCTCCAGCCCCTCACTTCCACTTTTTGCCTGTTGTGAATAAAAGCTTCTTTGAACATTTGTGTGAAAATGTTAGTGGGATGCTGGTTTTCAGTTCTGGCTGGGAGACGGCTTGACACGAGCTCTCAGTTCTGTGGCACGTGGGAGGAGCCGCCAGACAGTCTGCGTCCGTGGCATGGCAGTGGTTTCCATCCCCGCCAGCAGGGCATGAGGGTGCCCGTCTCCTCGTGCTCCCCGTCAGCCCTCATGGCCTGTCTCCTTGACAGCCACTGTCCCAGGGACCAGCCGCCTGGCTTCTGAGTGGGGAATCTTTCCCTGTCCCTGGCGGCCAGCTGTCTGATTGTGAAATCTCTCTTCAAGCCGTATTAACCTCCGGGAGAGGGCTTAAGGGCTGGAGCATACACCTGGCGTGCTCAGGGCCCAGGTGCCACCTTGCCTCTGCGGCACCACCGTGACTTCCCTCATGGCCCTCAGCATCATAAGGGAGATCCCCCAAACACAAGTGCGTGTGTGTGTGTGTGCACGTATGCATGCCTGGATGAAACCCAGGGCCCTGCACGTGCCAGCATGTGCTCGGACTGAGCCTCATTCCTGGCCCTTCGGCTTTTCTGCCCTTTGATTGTTAAGTGGTGCACTGAAGCCCGCAGAGGAGAAACTGAGGCTCAGAAAGGGGATATGGCTGGTCTCCAGCTTCCACCATGAAGTGACCACCTCTCTTCATATTTTTTGGGGGCTGCTGTTGTTTTGAGTTTTGGGGGGAGACCACCAATGCTTAGTTAGGGACTACTCTCCCCTTACACTCGGGGTCACATCTGGTGGGACTGAGCGTGTGTGTGCCCCCCACATGTCATGTGGAGTACACGCTTAGCTCTTTGGGTTCTCTCCCACCCTCTTCCCCCAAGACTGAATCCCCCAGACCTCCCACCTTTGCATTTGTCTTCAAATGCAAAGGAGGACCCCCATCGGCCCAGGGTGCATGGAATGGTGAGGAAGAAGCCAATCCCAGGAACCGAGCTGGCTTCTTCCTCCCCTCTGATTCACGTGGACCCGGCTGACGTGGGCTGCGAAGAGGGGACAGCCCGGCGCTGCGGTGGGAGCCTATTTATACTGGCGGGGGCCGTGTTGCAAGCGGCTTTTCCTGCTGGCGAGAGGGAGAGACGTCACTGGGCGCTGACCTCACCAGAAACGCTGACGCATCTTCGCCTTCCCCTCCAGCTCTGCGCTGGGTGGCCCGGGCGCCTCCTCACCTGGGGGTCCCTCCCTGCCCCTCCTGGTCCCTCCCAATGGCTGTCCCCTCCTCTCCAGGGTACCCCGTCTCAGCAGCCCTCCTCCCGGGACCCTCCTCTTGCCAGCTGGGGGCTCCCCTTGCACCCACAGCCCCAGGCCTTTGGAAGGGGGCCCTGTTCAGAGAGAGGGTCTCCAGTCAGCCCTGGATGGGCCGACTCCTAAGCCCATCGGATGGGCGTCCTTTGAAGAAGAGACGGGGACAGACTCGCAGACGGCCACAGTCACAAACTGAGGGGAGGGGTTGGCTAGAGCCGAGCCAGCCCTGGCCGGGGAGCTCAGCCCTCTGGCTCGAAGGTGCGAGAAAAGATGCCTCTATTGTTGGAGCCTTCCTGGCCATGCATTTTGCTCTGGCAGCCCTAGATCCCTCTCTGCAGCCCGCAGCTGTGTCTGCCTGGCGCAGCCCTGGTGCCTGGCCTGCGCCTCCATCAGTGACCCTGGGCACTGGCTCCCAGGCTCGCTCTGCTCCCCAGGAGAGGAGAACCCGCGGCTGCTCTGGCCCAGGGACCTGAGGAGGAGGCCGGGAGTGGTCCCGCCAGCCGGAGGAACCCAGAGCGTCCCCGGCTCTGCTGCCCAGACTCCAGCCCTGGGGGTGGGAGCGGGGCGGGGGGGGGCAGCCACGGCACCCCTGCCCGCACACTCCCTCCCCAGATGCAATCAGGAACATGAAACGAAGGATGCCAGTTGGGCCAAGAACCCAGGAAACGGGCTGGTGGGCATGGGGCACCGAGGGGAGAGATTTAGCAGAAGCGAATCCAGAATCCAGGGTGGCCATGGGACGGCAATGGGAGCCAGGCCTGTGGGCACCGCGCAGGGCTGCCAGGAGTGGGTGGAGCCCAGAGGGGTGGCTGTGGGGGGCGGGGGCTGTGTCTCCCCACCATCCCTCCCACAGGAGCCTCACCTGCTGCAGGAGGAGGTGTTGATGCTGAGGGGAGTGGTTGGGGTCAGCCTGGGGGGACCGTGACGGGGCCCTGAGCTGGTGGGCAGGAGGCCATCACCTTCCTCCTGGCCACCTCGGATACCACGTCCAGGTGTCACACACCCAAAGTTTCTGGCAGTTGGTGCATCTCAGAGCACCCCCACTCTCTGGCTCCCCGCAGCTGCCGGAACCCCCTCCCCACTGGGCTCCCGAGGACCAAGGACCTGCTTCCAGTCCTGCTCTCTGTGCTGGCCACCTCAAAACCCCATCCGCTTCCTTCTCTAGCCTCACCAGGGCCTCAGTTTCCCCCCGGTGGAGCTGGGTCCCGTGTCCCCTGGGCTCCTGCAGGCCGGCATCCAGAGTCAGCGGGCAGCAGGGGTGCAGCCCATGATCTGTATCTTTCAGAGAAAATGAAACCGGGTCCCAACCGTCACGGCAGTGACTCCCCTGCCCAGCTTCCCCTGTGAGCTCACCGCTTCCCCATCCCCTCAGCCCCCAGCCCCCAGCTCATACTTGGAATCTGACTTTATCGCTCCCGTTTCCTTCGAGGCCTTTAAAGGCCTTTTTCCCTCCCTGGTGGCGGCCGGACCAGGAGGTGGGCAGGAAACGCTTCGCTCTTCCTCATTTGACAGGTGTGGCTGTGAGGCCCGAGAGGAGAAGCCTCGGGCCTCGTGTCTGTCTCGGGCCCCGTCCCGGGCGCCCGTGGAGAAGCGGAAGTGCAGTGGGCAGGTGCTGGGGTGTCCCGGGAGCCCCTCCGATGGACACAGGACTTGGGGCCAGGACCACAATCTCGGGGCTGCCAGCCTGGCCTGGCTGGGTGCCCAGAGCCGGGTGGTTTCCGCTCACAGATGTCCCAACAGCCCTCGGGGAGGCGGGAAGGGCACTCCACCGAGAGATGTTGGCGCCCCTCAGCCCCAAACCACAGGGGGGCTCCAGGGCTGAGCCGGCCGGTGGCCCTGGAGGGGTGCAGCCGGCTGAATCTGTCCTCCTGGGCCCGGATCCCCCTTGCTCCCCACTCACCCCCCAAAAAAGGCTGAGGCTGCGGTTTGCTTCATCCTTGGGCGTGGGGCTGACCTCGAAGAACGAATTCGAAGAAAACAGGAGGAGGAACAGGGCACACGGCCGCACCCAGCACCCATTGGCCGCCGTGGAAACTTTGTTTTTTGGGGTCATGTTCCCAGAAGGGCCTGCCCTCCCCCCTCCCCCTCCCCACCCACCTCGAGGTGTTGGCCAATCGCCCCGGCGGGCATAAAGTGGCTGCCAGCCCACAGGGCGCCCAGCGGGAGGTGTCACCCCCAGCAGGCACGGGCTAGAGCTCGGGGCACCCAGCATGTGGGCACAACTCACTCGGAGGACACTGCTCAGTGAGTACTTCCTTCCTCCCCCCCAGCAGCTGTGGCTGTGTCCGCGGGCATTGGCGGGAGCACAGGCACCCTCTGTCCTCCGGAGGTCAGGCCCCGGGCGGGGTGGGGGGTCAGGGGGATGCTGAAAAGGGGAGCGAGCCAGCAGGACTCTGGTGTCTCCCCGGGGTGGGGTAGAGGCATCCCTGGAGGGCATCCAGGGGGACGTGCTGCGGAGGCAGCTGTGGGATGGAGCGGGCGGGGAGATGTGCGGGTGACAGAGGAAGCTGGAGAGGCCCATCGGCGAGTACCTGCGCGCCTCGGACCCCGCGAGGCCTCCTCTTCCCGCTCGCTCGGGGTGCAGGATGGGGAGCCCGGCAGGCAGGGCCCCGAGCTGCTCAATCACACAGCGAGAGCCACGCCCTCCGCCTGACGTCACGGGCGCCTTCAATCTCACCGACCGGGCACCCCCACCCCGCCCGGGCCGCCTCGGCCCGCGCAGTCCCGCATGGAGCCTCGTACCCACGAGGCACCCCCAGCCCGGTGGGCCCCCCAGCCGGCAGCGGGTACCTGGGAGGGGCGAGGGCTGCTCTGCCGTCGACAGCACGCCCGGCCGCCCTGCCCTCCGCCCGCCCATCAGCATCTTCCCCAGGGGCCGAGCAAACGGGGAACCGGGCGGGCGGTCGCAGCCTTCCGCCCGTTGCGCCACGGCCCCTTCCGACCACGTGGCTGCCGGGCCCGCAGGGTGGGTGCGGGGAGGCGGCGGGCGGCGGGGCCCGCCCCCCGGAACCTTCCAGCTGGGGGGACCTGCAGCGACCGGAGACCCGGAGAGGGCCGGCAGGACCCGTCCGGAGGTGGGCCTGCTTCCTCCCTTGGTAAAACGGGAGCGGGCATAGGCTCTTAGGGGAATCTTGGCATCCTTTCCGGAGAGGAGCCTCGCAGGGAAGGGCAGCCTGGTCCGGCCCCCAGACGCGCCTCAGGGTGGCCTTGCTCCCCCTCAGCCCCTTCTGCACACAGCGTGCCTGAGGCTGCCCACTTCTGGGGCACAGGACCTGGGTAAGGGCCTGAGACAGTTAAGCGGCTTTGCATGCAGGGGGCCCGGGTTCTGTGCCCAGGACCCGGCCGCGGGCCTCCCAGAACCACCCTTGAGCATCACCAGGCATCCCACTCCTGCACTTCCTGCCTGGGAAAGCTTGTGACCCCCCACCTCTTTTCCCTCCCCCCAGGTCTGGCCCTTGGACTCCTGCTCCTGAGCCGGCCCGCCGCAGGCAGCTGCCCCAGTTACCAAGACCTGCTTCGGCAGCTGCAGATCCAGGCAGTGCTGCTGCAGGACCACAGCAGGCTGTTGGACCCCTACGTGAGTGTCCCCGGGGCCAGGTGGGAGCGAATGGCGCCACCATGGAGCAGGAGGGAGGATGGGGGTGGGGAGGAGGACGGTCCAGGGCTGCTTACCCCGAGATGCCCGAGACAGTGCAGCTTCCTGCCCGGCAGGCCTGGGTTGTGCATCCCTGCCTTCCCTCCCTACGCTGGGCCGGCGAGCTGAGCCGGCCACCTCCAGCTCGTCCTGAGTCCTGTCACTCTCGTCCCTGAGGTGCAGGGCAGGGCAGCAGGCTTGTCCCTGGGCTGGGGAGCAAAGGGGGCTGCCGGGCTCAGCCCCGATTCCGCTTTCTCCTCCAGATGCACTTTCAAGGCTTGCACAAGTCCATCCTGAGGGATCACTGCTGGGAGCAGCCCGGAGCCTTCCCCAGCGAGGACGACCTGCGGGCGCTCAGCCGGCCAGCCTTCCTGCGCACTGTCCAGGACAGGCTGCACAGAATCACCTCCTTCCTGAAGACCTTCCCTAAGGATCTCCCAGAAACGCAGCCCATGACCACAGCCTTGAGGTACATCCAAGGCTTCCAGAACAATGTCCACTGCATGGCCCAGCTGCTGCCCGATGCCTCGCCGGCCAGACCCCCCCAGGAGGGCCCGGGGGCCTTGCCCACCCCCTCCTCCAACTCTCTTCAGCGCAAGCTGGATGGCTGCCGGCTCCTGAGAGGTCACCACCGCTTTATCCACTCAGTCGGGCGGGTGCTTGGGGAGTGGGGGGCGCACCCCAGCCGGAGCCGGAGACACAGCGCCCCCCTGGACCTCTGGAAGCAAGCCTGGAGGATGAAAGCCTCCAGGCGGGGCAAGAAACTTGTGTCCAGGGCCCGGTAGCCTCTGGGACTCCACCATAGGCTGAAGTTCTGCTGTTGCACCGTCAAGGGCATCTTGGGGACTGAGGGGTCTCCCACTCCCTCCCCTCCATTCACGCCCCCCTGAAGTGCACTGCCAGGGGAGGGGGGCTTGGCGGGCTGCAGGATGAGACTGGTGATTTGGCAACCCCAGACCCCGAGAGCGCCCCAGTCCCGGCCGGGTCCGGCCACGCGGGACCAACTTTCCATTGATTCAGGGATCTGATGACACAGGCTGACTCACTGCCAGACTGGCCCCCCTGCTCCCCCCCCAGCCCGCGGCCCTTCCCTCTCATGACTTGCAGGGACGTTACCCCCAGACTTCCTCCTTTCTGAGGCGGCCCGGCTCCGAGGGGGTGGGGGTGGGAGGCCAGCCTGAGTTGGCCTTCTATGCCTCATCGCATCCCGGGCCAGACACCTGGATGTCTGGGTGACCTCACTTTAGGCAGCTGTGACAGGGCCAGAGGGTCTGCGAAGGAGTCCTGGTCTGGGATATCCAAGAAACGGGGGTTCAGATCTTAGCTGGGTCTCCAACTTGCTGTGTGACCTCGGGCAGGCCCCTTGACCTCTCTGGACCTGTTCTCTCTGTGAGCAGAGGAGATCCGAGACGGGGCAAAGCTTTCTCTGCTGGTCGGCTGTTGGGCTTCTGTGATCCGGAGTGGATGTTTTTCCCTGTGTAAATCGGGATTCGTGGTGCAGATAGACTCTGGGTGCAGACTCCTGTGGAAGGAGGCCTTTGGGGTGCGTGGAGAGCCAGTTCTTGGGGCCTGGCTGCAGCTGCTCCCCCTGCTGGTGAAGCACGGAATTTCCTCAAACTGAAACCCTAACTGTGGGGGCTGTTTCCACAGAACATGACTAATTTATAGATTTTTATCCGTTTTTTTAAAAAAAGATTTTTATATTTATAAGATTTATTTATAATGTATATTTATGTTAATAATATTGTATCTATATATATTTAAAACGTGTCTTGTTTTGAAAAAATACTTGTGTTTCTGTTGCTTTGGGAGAGGACTTGGAGATGCTGAGTCCCTTAGAAGGGGCCAGGTGGCCGGGCCACAAGTGTCCACGATCTATGCGCTGGAGGGGCTGCCCTGTCCAGGAAGGGAAGGTTCATGCCCCGTCCAAGGAGCTCAGCCCGTGGACCCCCATTCCCACATTCTGAATGGGCCACCTTGCCATGCTGGAGATGTTGTGGGGTTATATGGAGTGTGGGGGTGACTCAGCCCCCAGATGTGCGTGTGCGTGTGGGGGGAGGTTCTGGAGGATCTGTCCTGAGTTCTGGTGTATAAAACCATACGATGTGTCAATGTATAGTTTGGTCCACACCCCGGCAGTGCTCAGAGCTTACCCTTGAGTGTGCACTCAGGGGTCAGTTCTCGGGGGATCAAACACAGAACCTGAGATTGACCCGGGTCAGCTGCATGGCAAACATGGTGCCTGCTGTCCTAGCTCTCAGGGACCCTGAAACAGACTTGATAGCAACAGCCTGTCTGAGACCCATGGCCCTGGGCAAGTGAAGGGTTCCGTTCAACACCCAGAAAGCTGGGCTCTCTCCTCATGCTCAGAGCCCCAGCTGGGAGAGAGGAGGGTGTAGCGGACCCTGGGGTGCCATAGGGCAGCTACAAAGGCAGGACCAGCAAAAGCACCATCAGCCCCTGAGCTGCCCCATTCTTGGGGATGCGGCTGGAAATAGGACTAACACCCAGCCGGGAGGTGCGCCCCCGCAGGACCCTACATGCTTTAAGGATGAAAATACAAGACTCAGATTTTTTTTTTTTTGGTATGGTGGGTGGAAGGGTTGGGCCATGCCCACTGGTACTCAGGGCCTACTCCTGACGTCATGCTCAAGGGTCCCCAGGCAGTGCCAAGGAATTGACCTGGGGTTGGTCACATCCAAGGCCAGTGCCTTGGGGCTGGAGCGATAGCACAGTGGGTAGGGCATTTGCCTTGCACGCGGCCTACCTGGGTTCGAGTCCCAGCATCCCATATGGTCCCCTGAGCATCGCCAGGAGTAATTCCTGACTGCAGAGCCAGAAGTAACCCCTGTGCATTGCCGGGTGTGACCCCTCCCCCCCCAAAAAAAAGCAAGAAAAAGGCCAGTGCCTTACCCCTGTCTTGTCCATCTTTCTGTTGTGCAGGGCATAGAATCCAGGACCTCGCCGCACAGGCAAAGACAAAGTTCCTCCACTGTGCCACATCCCTGGTCCCTTGTTACCCTTGAGCCTTTTGAAACTGGCTTTTGTGCATCCCCAAAGGCACAGAATTTCCCCCAGGGAGTGAACCGACACACCAGAGCAGCCAAAGAACCAACCGAAGGAGTGGCGGAGACTGTAGGGGGAGTGCAGTGAAAAGAAAAGGGGGGTGGAGAGAGAGAGAGAGACAGAGACAGAGACACAGAGAGAGACAGAGACAGAGTCGGGGTGTGGGGACCCCAGGGTGCGTGGCTTAGAGGGGAGCAAGGGTAGGGGTGAAGAGTTCTCAAAAAGACCCAGAGAGTGGGGCTGGAGCAATAGCACAGCGGATAGGGCGTTTGCCTTGCACGCATCCGACCCGGGTTCAATGCCCAGCATCCCGTATGGTCCCCCAAGCACCGCCAGGAGTAATTCCTGAGTGCAGAGCCAGGGGTAACCCCTGAGCGTTGCTGGGTGTGACCCAAAAAGCAAAAAAAAAAAAAAAAAAAGACCCAGAGACCAGAGAGCCAGGGGCCGGAGCGAGAGTACAGAGGGGAGGGCGTTTGCCTGGGTTCCCGGCCGACCTGGGTTCGATCACTGGCATCCCAAACGGTCCCTGAGCCGCACCAGGAGGGGCACCTTGTGGGAGGGGGCCCACCCTCTGTGCAGGAGCTGAGGCCGGGAACCCCAGCAGCAGGCGATGGGGGTGAGGGGGGCTGAAGCCTTCCTTCTTACCGCCCCGCCCCAGCCTGGCTGGGGGGTTCCCTGGCTGGGGTGCTGGGAAGCTGTGGGTGGGAGGTGTCAGACGCGGAAACACCAGGCCCGCTTCAGTTCCTGGAGCGGAAGGGAGCTGGTGCGGCGGCGGGCAGCGCGGTTGCCCGCAGGTAGAGGAAGAGCTGGGCAGCCCAGGGTGGCTAACCGCTGCCCTTGCCTGGCCTCTCACCAGCCCCCGCCCGCCATGGACATAGCCCAGGAGCGGGGCCGGAGCACAGGACAGGGGTAGGTCACACGCCTTGAACCCGGCCCACCTGGGTTTGAGCCCCAGCATCCCCTGGGATCCTCCTAGCCTGCCAGGAGTGATCCCTGAGCTCAGAGCCACGAGGAAGCCCTGAGCATAGCTGGGGGTGGCCCAAAAGCACAGCAAAGAAGACCACCCCCCTCCCCCGACCCGACCAAAAGAGCTTTGGGGCTGGCTTGGAGTTGGAGCACCGCCCTCCAACCACCATTAAGGAAGCAGGTCCGGGGGCTCTAGGCGCTGAGGTGGAGTCCTTGGGGGATCGCCCTCCCCCCAGATTGTCTCCCAGTGAGACCACAGCTGTGGGGGCCCCATATCACCATGTCCAGCCTCGACCTCTCCAAGCCCAGAGCCACCTGGACACCTCTGGGTCAGAGGACAGTATTTGCTCCCTGTTTGCTCCTGCCAAGACCTCAGTCTCCCCCAGCTCACCCCCTTTCCTTTTCTGCTCCTTATTCCCGTGACTCCTCCCCCGGCCGGGGGGGGGGCTTTCCTGCTCCCCAGGATAAGGACAATCAACCCCCTTTGGTGCTTCCCCCTGGCCTGCCACTTGAAGTATTGCTATTTTTTCTTTCTTTTTCTTTTTTTGAAATTTTTATTAGTGAAACACCATGAGGTACAGTTGTAGACTTACAAACTTTTGTGCTTGGGTTTCAGTTATACAATGATCAAATACCCATCCCTCCACCAGTGCCCATTTCCCACCACCACGGATCCCAGTATCCCTCCCACCCCCATCACCCCTCATCCCACCCTGCCACTGTGGAAGGGCATTCCCTTTTGTTTTCTCTCTCCTTTTGGGTGTTGTGGTTTGCCAAAGAGGCATTGAGTGGCAATCACGTTAGGTTCACAGTCCACTCTCAGCACGGATCTCCCATCCTGAGAGGATCCTCCCAATATCCTTTACTTGGGTGCTCCCTTCTCTGTCTGAGCTGCCTTTTCCCCTAGCGTGTGCGGCTGGCCTCCAAGCCATGAAGTAAATCTCCTGGTACTTATCTCGGCTATTCTTGGGTGTTAGTCTCCTATTTTGTTACTTTATGTTCTCCAGATGAAATGTTGATTTCTTGGGTGAGGGTTGAAGGACAGTGCTCAGACTGTGCTCAGGAGTGACCCCTGGTGGTGCTTGGGGGAGTCACATGCGGTGCCAGGGAGCGGGGCCGGGCTGGCGGGTTGCAGGCTAAGTGCCTTAAAATCTCTCCTGCCAGCCCTGTTCTAGGAGTACCAGGCCTCTGGCCCTCCACCCGCCCAAGGACAGCTCCAGTGTCCCTTCCTGAGTCCCACAGGACTTCCCTGGTGCTGCAGGTGGCATATGAGGGTCTGGACTCAGAATGTGCCCCCTCTCGGATGGGCGACCCTGTGCCAAGCGCTTCCAGAGACCATCTGCCAACACCAGGAGCAGAGCCGGGGCTCTGATAGCAGCTATTCGAGGTCACGGAGAGAGAAGCGCCACCCCCCCCCCGCCAAGACAGTCTGCAGAGCCTGCGCCCCCAGCCACCTGCTGGACCAACACCAGCTTCTGCGGATGGACAGAGTGGTTGTGGGCACGGGGAGCAGGCCTTGGCCCAGGAGGCAGGTGTCACCTACAAGTTGGGCTGCTAAAATTTTAATTTAGAGGCCGAGAGATGGCACAGTGGGCAGGGCACTTGGCCGGCACACGGCTCATTTCGACTTCCATCCCTGGCACCCCAGAGGGTCCCCTGAACCCTGCCAGAAGTGAAAGCTGAGCTCAGAGCCAGGAGTCAGCCCTGAGCATCTCCGGTGTGGCCCCCAAGCCAAAACCCTTGATTTGATTTG